TATACACGTAAGTGGAAAATAGAACGCTCCGGTTTGTGGTTCGCTGACAATTTTCGAGTCCGTTTAACGAGCTCCACCGCGTTAATGCTAATCTCGTAAAAATAAACAGCATTTCGGGCCAAATCGATGGCTAGGCCATTAGGCCAATTGCTGGTCATTGTCATTTGGAACGCAGCAGATTTCAGCGAATGGGGCGCAGCCAGCCAGCTCCAGCACATCAATATTCCAAGTGTTTGGCTTATTTGCGAAAATCTGTTGACACACCGACCTCCCCCAATCGCGAACGGAACAAGCAATCAAGGAGCGGCAGCAGCTTAGCAGACTTCCGCCAAGGATAACAGGAGACGCCCAAGGATGCCGCCGGCAGAAGCATCGCCTTACAAGATTTTATTTACACCTTCTGCGAAAATGTTTACACTTCAACAGGCAGCGGCAATAAGAAGAGGCAAGCCGTCCCCCGCCACGCCCACAGCTCCCCGGTGAAATGCTGAAAATGCTGAAATGAGCAATATGTAAACCTCCAGGACGCCAAAGGCAGATCCCCAAACAATTGAAAGTGGATTTCCACCTGGCGAAAAAATTACTCAAACAGAAAGCTAAAAAAAAACTCATAAAAATAGGGAAAATGCTAACGGCCCTTGCATAATGCCGAGATGTAAGAGGAATGCGAACTAGGACCAGGAAGGACCAAGGGGCGTTATCAGGGGAAAGCGTTGTCATAGCGTAAATTTATGTAAAAATTTGTAGCAATTGCAATAAGTTCGTCGTCGCCATTGCCGGCGGCTCTGAGGAGCATAAAATTTGCGTGCAAGACCAAATAAATTCCTTCGATTCAAGGAAGTTCTTTATGCGCATTTTAAGTGTGGACCGAGGGGTCGGAGCACCTCCGGGAATGGAGTCTCCTTGAGGGAGCGGCTCTATTTTATAAGGCTAGAGAGATATCACTTTATTTTAAATGCATTAAGAACTTTGGCAAAAACTGATTACGAAATTTGCTCAGCCTTTGTTTGCCAAGCCCTTCATGATGTCTGAATCCGACAGTCGGTGATGTACAAGACTGTGAAAATTAACTCCCAGCTGGCAAATGCCTCGGAGTGCAAATATTGAGCTGAGTCGAAGGCTTTTGACTGCCTCAATCTCCAAAGAAATGGCAAAAGATGCGGAGGTCTCCATGAATTTCACTTGGGGAAACTGTTGCCCACTGTCGTCGCCTGTTATTTTTGGCAATCTGTTTGTTTGCCGATTGTCTGTCAGTTATGCTACTTATGCCTCATCCTTTATGCCCAGCAAAAGTCCCTTGGCTCGTCCTGATTTAATAAGAATCCATTTTGCCTGCTCAACGCAATTAACATAATTTTTATAAGTGGATTTTCATAGTTGAACAATCTTCGGCCCGCGGCATTTGTGAAAACTTTAAATTTCAATTCGCTTAAGCTCTCTTTCCAAGGGAGAAACTTTCGCCAGGCCATTGAACCGAGGAGAGTTACAATTTTCGCGATAGGTCTTCAAATATATATGTACAGCTCATAGACCCGGAGAGACTTCAAATATAGTTTAACGCCCTTTCGCCTTTCTTTTTACCGACAGTGATTGCCGCCCGAGGGCGTCATTTGCATTCCAATTGTGTGTGGGACCAAAGTTGTGATTTCGATTGCAGATCGCCGACAAGCGAATTCGAATTTGGTCAGACTTTGCTAACCCACAGAACGGAGACCGGCTTCCCTCGATTTCGGGGTTAAGGTCTTGCTGAGACCCAATTAAGATGTAGGAGGCGTCGCTGCAGGAAAGAGTTATGATATAATCAAGAGAGAAGACTCCGCTGGAAGTCACACCTATGATAAGGCCAACGAACCCACCCAATCATAACTGCGAACTGTCTATCATAATAATCTATAGTTGTGCCCAAGACTTATTCACCACTTATTAATATTCCCTCCTCCTTTCGATCGATTAGCATATCTAACCCAATTTCTCGGGCTGATCGAGACTCAGGGTTAACTCGATTTATATTCTGGCATAATGTATGCGCCGGTTATTCCAGAAGATCACTATTTAAATGCAATTTGGAAACGGATTTCAACCGGCAAATGGCAATAGAATCGCGTTTTATTTGTGCGCCTGAGGGGAATTAAAGATTTGTGGCCACTACAACTCCACCCTCTCGCCCGAGAACCCAAATCAATCTGCGACAATGTGACAATAATAATTGATAACCTTAAAGCCGAAAAAACCACGGGCTCGCTTCCATTTCATTCGCTGGACATTCGGACTTTCGACAAACGCCGAAGGTGAAGCGAACCAAATAAATTCAATAAAAGTCACTCAAATGTCGATAATTGAAATGCGTATACAACACCAGCAGCAGCAGCAGCAAATGCAGAAAATAAGCAATCGAAGCGAGCAGGACGGCAAAAAATTAACATTTTTATATAACAAATTTAATTTGGACAATTCAAGCGAAACGAAAATTGCATAAATTTCATTTCCAGTCAGCCATCGACGAAAGTTTTTTTTGGCGGAGCAAGGGACTTTCAGCTTAATTCCTTTTTATTGGCCCTAAACTGGGCCGAACAGCTCAATGAAACTCTCCCATAAACCTGAGAATTTTTAGACCTAATGCCGAACGGTTTGGTTTCTGTTTCTGTTACCGTATCCATTATTCAAAGTAACGCTCTGACGTGTACTGTTCGCGCAATTAAGTTCGCGCCCCGAAATTATGTACCGAACGGGAAGCTCAAAGGAGCCGCTCTCCTCTAAGTTATTGCACTTTTCTACGCAAGATTTATCGCCCTCGACCGAACTCCGCTTAGATATATAGTGTGGGTAAAAACGTTTGCTTTTTTCTCACTCATCAAGTGACTCATGGGCCTTAACGCGACTTTAGCTGCTGTCAACGACTCTCAGTTCGAGCGATGTGCAGTGCATCCTTAATTACGGAAACGCTGAATAGGGGCTTCTCATCCTCCCTCCAGAGATTCCCCTTTCTAGGACTGTGCTTGGCGAAAAATTTTAAATATTCGCAAGTTTTTATTATCGCTTGCAAACTTGTGGAAAAGTTCCTTCTCCTTCGGTTGTATGCCTTATTACGTGGCATGTTTGGGTAATTCGGTATAGTTAAACAAGGACCAACCAAACGTTTGTGCACTGAGAAAATGTAGATTTTTATTCAAGAAAAACTGTTGATTCAGGACGGATTTCTGTAAACAAAACCCGTCATCGCACAGCCTCTCACTTCACTTTGCTAATTCGTAGCGAAGTATGTTATCTACTATTTGAATTCCTTTAAAGTTGTTAAAAATCATACCCACTTCAGGAAGAAAAGAAACAAACTCTTTGATTTGCAATGCGAACTGATATATATATATATATATATATATATACAAATTTTTAATTTGAATAATTTTTTACTATCAATCCCTGAATTTTAGGTAATTTTCGGGATGTAAGATCGAAATGAAATACTTTCAAATCGTACTCTTTTTAAAGATGAATTGCTTTTTCTTAGGTACATAGTTCAAAAGATGCACCACATCTATGTAAATAACACACAATTTGAATAAATATTAAAATACCTATATGATTTGTATAGAAACTCATTTAAAATTAAAGGCTGAGATCCTATAGTTTAGGATCTAGGCTATTCAGCCATTATTTCAGACCAATGCTGCTCAGCTGATTGGCGAATCCTCTCCATCCCAAATTCGAGACTAAGGATGTTACCCCAGGATTTCCTCCTGTGTGGTAGTGCACTTACGCCCACCACCCCACCGATACATATCAGTCCAATCAGCTAGCAGAATATGCATTCGCAGGGAGCTCCTCTCCATGCACACACTCTAAATCATTGTCGTCTGTTGCTCATCAAGCAGCCCCTACGACGCCATTATCGTCGTCATCAATTGCGCTGCCGGTGGCTGCCTGCAGACAGCTTGTCACCGTCGGGTAAACATGCGAATTTCGCAGTCGAGCAGGCAAACACGTGACGAGGCGGCGAGGGAGGATTGCCAGGGATTGCCAAGGGGGCGGAGGACAAGATGGGGCGACAATGACGACGTCAATCGTGCGACAAAAGGCAGTTTGAATACTAAAACAAGGCACTCTTGGACGCGCACCGCAGCTTTATTGAGCTTCGAGTACAGAAGTTAGGAGACCTCAACCGAGACTGAACCTCTTGAGGTTATCGAAACCCTTGGACTTGTCGATGCGACCGTAGATGGTGGACCGCACTATCATGCCGCTCTTGGGCTTCGAGATCGCCATGCCGAACCGAAACTTGGCCTCCGGCAGGAAGCTGGGCAGCATCTCCTCGTCCACCTTGTAGTTGGTCAGGCTGTAGGTTCCGCTGCGGATGGGGCACTCCTTGAAAAGATTGCCGTGCTTCTGCAGGTCCTCGTAGATCACACGAACCAAAGGATCCGAGTTCCGTTGCTTCAGCAGCTTGCAGAAGTTGAGGGTGCGATTGATCAGGGTGGAGAAGTTGCCCTTGTCCGTCTCCAAGCCCACGTCGACCATCAGCTGGACGTCCTCTATGTCCTCGAGCGTCTTGATGTCTATGCTCAACTTGGACTCGCCCGACTCGTTCTGCAGATCCACATTGAGGTCCACGATCTTGTCGTTCGCCTCGAAGTCAATGTTCGTGAGGATGACCTTGAAAGAGCGCTGTCGAAGGGGGTTAGAGATCAAAGTTCACACTCGATTTAGGTAAACTCACCCAGGCTCCGGTCACGGGCATGAAAACCACCAGAATCAAGACCCAGGCACAGCTGCTTCGGGTGAGCTCCTCGCGCATCTTGCTCCAATTATCCACTGAGACTGGCCCTTTTTCAATTAGTCACTATTTATATGAATGCAATTAAGATTAGTCAGGCCCCAGTGGTCAACAAAGTGATGCAGACATTAGGCTCACACCGGTGCGGCACGTGGCCATGGTGAATTAAGTCAACTAAGTGGATGGACTTTGGAAAAGCATTCAGGTGTTTCAATGCCTAGTCAATTTTCGATAAGATCGAACACAAATTCGCCCAGCACCATTCCCGTATAAATAGAGATCCGCTGGCGGAGAGCAGCCAGTGAAGTCAGTTGACTGCAGTAGGTCCATAATGTTGCTGTACTCCCTGGTGCTAGTGCACCTCGTCCTGGCACTTTGCCACGGCTCCCTGGCTGAGGTAAGTGATTGCAGAGCGATCTATATATCCAGAGTAATCCCTCGAGTATCCCTCACCCATCCAGAAAATGATGCGGCCCAAGTTCAAGGACATTAAGATCTGGAGCGACGAGAAGTACGTCAGCCACAAGGTGGTCTACGACAACAGCGATCCGCATTTGAACTTCTCCATGGAGGTTCACCAGGAGCTGCATGACGTGGACATCCACGTGGAGGCGCGCATCACCAACAAACAGGACCCGCTCTACACCACCACCCTAAACACCACCCTGAATGTGTGCCGCATCCTGGGCTTCGCCAACAAATCGCCGGTGGGCCGATTCGTGCATGGATTCATTCGCGAATTCGGCAACATCGTGGACACTTGCCCCATCGCTAAGGTGAGTGGAGTGAGTCCAGCTGACCACCAGCTGACATCCACTTTCGGTCATGTTTTTAGGGCCGATACCGTTGGCACCGCATTCATTTAAAACGTCCATTACAGGGCTCCTACTTCATCAACAAGTTCTGGTGGCCGGAGGACCCAACCACCGCCATCCTGCCCGAGCTGGAGTTCGAGATCATCTGGCAGGCCATGCATTTGGACGCCAACAAGAAGCGCACCCTGATCATGAACGATCACTATGGCGGAGATTTCACCGTCCAGGACGTCAACAACCTCAAGCCCGGCATTTTCGCCATGCTGCCCAAGATCGCCTAGAAGCTCCGCTGAGCTCCTCCCTGCCCCGGGAAGAGCCATCCAGCCGCGTCGCGTGTCCCAATGGTATTTAATTAATGTTATTCAGTGTCACTTGGTGTTTACCCAGAAAGCAAGCAAATAAAGTTGCCCCCTAAGAGCAAATCTTATTTCTGGTCCCTTCGTTATTTGAAAGAAATTTTAGTTAGTACCTTTCATAATGTGATGGGATGGTGGCTATATTCGATATATATATTCAAATAAACTTATTGTATCGGTTCATATTCCAGTGACCAAAGGTCTCCACCAATACATTTTAAACACCTGATTTTTTTGCACGATAGTGTATATATAATTTGTGGAGGCATTGAACCGAAAGATTCAGATTTTATAAAATCAAAAACGATTTGGTTGACTAAATATTTCCAGTATTTATAATGATACAATTGTATATGTCATGCACTTAAACGCGTACGTTCGTATATGATGCCAATAAACAAATAAAGAGAATTTTCGTTTTTAAAAGTGTTCACATAAATATATATGAATAAGAATCTTCACTTTTCAGCAGCCAAAGCGCTTCCGAATGCATAAAGTATATTTATTTGTTAATAATAAATATTCAAATCCAGATACCTACATTGTTTTAAAGATACGTTTCAAAATGTTTCAATTATTTTACTTTCTAAAACAACGAAGCAAAGACATTCTTCAAACACTGTAGTGGATATCATAAATTTGCCTGCAATTATCTGTGGTCCGCGCAGCCATCAATGTCATTTTGAATTAAATTTTTCATATTATTCAATACCGGAATCTGGACGTGCTGCTCTCGAATTTTGACACTGGGCAATTTCGGGCTTTGCAGCTTTTCCAAATTGAATTAAAATGGCTCGACATAGCGGTAGGGATTGGAGAGAAACAAAAGCCCACAACATCAAATTATTATTCAATATACTCGCAATGAAATGTTTGTGACTTGTGTCGTGCTTATTGTGATCCGACAGTGACAGTTTGCGAATTTTAAAAACGCTTTTAGCTATTTTTTATCCCATTGAAGGTGCCACTTGGTATGATTTATGCGAGTTTGAGTTTGCCGGGGCTTTGGTTTTGGTTATTTGGTCATTTGTCGATTGGCATATTGATGCACCATCGGTGCTATTGAGGAAGCAATAAAACGACGGCCACAATGAGGAATGCTAAAAAGTTCCCGGCGCCTCTGACTCGTTGATTTCCAATAAAAATTTCAATTTCAATTACCGGGGATAATAGGACGGGAATGAGAATACAAATCTCTGGACAAATCTGCCCCAAACAACTTTTATCAATTACCTGACCAGAAGCCACCAAAAAAAGAGGTGTAAAAAGGTGAATTTTATTGTGCTAAGCCCTCGACCATCCTCTACCCAATCCGCACAATGCATTTGTTTTCACTTTGTTAAACTCGGGAAACTTTATCCCGGCCAAGGAAAAGTTCAGGGGTCAAGCCAGCGGCCATTTAAGCTCCATTAGACAGGCACACAAAGCGACAAAACGCCTCGCTGCTCGGGGAGCAGCCCGGTGTAAGGAAATTCATTGTCCAAGTCGCCCAGCTGTGCTCCCTTCCTCCGCCCCAAGGGATCCCAAAGGGTTGCTCTGATCTGATTGCAGCACAGTAAATCTTGAAAAATTGCCATTCAATGCTAACGTTTTGAAAACATTCATCAATAAGTTGGCTGCGACTCACTCCGAACAATGAGAATTTCCCGAGCGCGGCATTGAGGTTGCTGCACTGTCAAACAATTTGCCTCTTTAATTCGATTGAGTGGTAATCTGAAAGTCGATTTTTCTGAATATTTCTCTCAGTGACAGGGAAAGTCGCACATATGCCACTGGGGCCAACAGCCGAGCCGAATTGCACTCCAGCCAGAGCCAGCCAGTCAAATCTCCCCATTTGGCTAATAAATCCTTGAGCAGCTTATTGAGCAACGTCTGCGCATAAATATTATGGCTGGCAACTGGTCAGGAGGAATCTCGGTGCCAAAGTACCAGTCTGTACCGTCTATATTCAGTTTTCACTTGAACTCGATTCGTCCTTTCCCCGGAAAGCCGTTTCCCAGTTCCGTTAAAGCTGCGCATTCTCGGCTCGCCTCGAACGTGTTAAGTAAAACTCTATTGAAGATGGAAATATGCCAACTTAGGGTACATCAACTAATGCATCAAGTATAATTTGAATATTCAACTAGGCCGCATGTTAGATTTTAAGTATGGTTTAAAGTTTATGGGCCGTTTTCTCGTCCGCATGTTAAATTTAAAATTGGGATAAATCCTTGAAAACGCTTGGATATTTAGAGCTTATTACCTTTTTTCTAGTGTTCTTTTATTAATAAAAATCCACAACTTCCTGATCAATTTTCTGATTGTTTATTAAAGCCTGGCAACCGTCAAAAAAATAAGAAATCTTTTAATATTATTTCTTTTAATATTCCAAAACAATCTCTTTAATTTCGATTTCCTTGGTTTGACATTAAAAACAAATTTATACCGAAAGTGTAATCTTTTGAATTTTGCCTTAAAAATATGTATAAGCAATAAATAGAGTATTAACAGCTCGACTTTTGACTTCAAAGTTTTTGTCCCTCTTTTCTCGACCAGAATTCTTGAGCTGACATTGGATTTCGGTTGACTGTCGTGTTGGTATGCCTGGCCAGAGTTTTTTGGCCTCCTGGTTGTTGTTGATTTCTTAAGCATACTCGCTGCACTAAAAGGATATGCAAATTGTTTGAATAGTAAAGGACATGCTAAACAATTTCAGAGCCTCGAGTCTATAGTTAGACAAACAAAAAAGGAAACTAAGCTAAACAAAACATTTCTCTTTCCCAGCTGGCTAAATTCTTTTTTATGGCTTTGCTTTCTGTTGCTGGTCAGAGGGTTCTCCTTTGGTCACAACATTGCTGCTTGTTGTTGCGCATTAAGTTGTTGCTACAAGGACACAGGACATTCACATTTCTAGAAGCTGAATAAATGTTTCACACTCGCTTGGTATAAATCACAGATCCCCATGTTATTAGGCATCCAATTTCCCATTTTTTTAATGCCCACTCCATTAAACGGTTGCCTCTGCTGTCGGTTTATTGAATTAGTTGATTATGCCAAGGGTTCAGTATGGGGACATTTTGGACGCAGGGCTTTTCTTTTCGAGACAATAAATCTCCTGTTTCCAGGGCTTACTCTCTACGATTTCTAGCGCATTTAAATCTTTTACAAGGTCAATTCCCTGTTGCGGTGGAAGGAAGCTTTGCAAACAATGTTTTTAGTGCTGTGTGCTCTACCGGATCCCTTGATTTACTTACCTGAAACAACTATTTTAATTCCACATTTAGAGCCGAAACAAGTTTCCATTCTGCGCTTCAGTTACTCCACTTAAGTGATTCATAGTTTCAATTACAGATTAATAACTAAAAGGGTGAGTTCCAAACCCAGTTTGCCTAGGCCGTGATTAACTTTATCACTTTACTAAGCAATCACACTGAAGAATGTCGCAAACTTTACAGGGAGTGTTCGTGTTTGAGGGGATATTTCTCAAGGATAATATGCATTATTCCCTTTTCTTCGGGCTTAGAATTCGAATTCGAAGGGTTTGGGAGGCAAAACAACAATGGGTATGTCCCTGCTTAACGTATTTTACCTTTTGGCTGGCGGCCTTTTATTTATTTTCGTTTTTCCCAAATGCTGCCCAGTCAGCGGACAAAGTTTCCTGAAATGCAATTTTGTAACGAGCAAATCCGATAAACCACTTTTAAGGGAATTTCTTTAGGCTGAAGATGGCATCATTTGGTTTTCCAAAATTTACAAAAGTCTATTCGTCGGAACAGGGCAATTAATAGACACAAAGAAATACATTTGGAATACAATATTAACTGATTCTTAACCCCAATTGTGAATCAATTTGGCTTGCTAGCAGCTATGCAAACGACAGTCTCCAGCCAATACACCACCCACAATAGAAGGCCAAGAAACATAATTCCCCTCCTCATTCTCGGTTCTCGCTGGCTTTATGGAACCACGGAGAATATGATGACGTGCCGTCGCCAAACCGCATACTTTATATAAACACACATACATCACAATTTTTATTCGCATCCAATAGATTTAAGTATCTGGTATCCGGGCTTGGGTCGCTTCATCCCTTCGGCAGGCGGCAGCACATTTATGCACAGATCAAAGATCAAAATGAATATTTTATTTGATTTGATTCCAGGCGGGCTGACTGCTGAGCTTGGCTACAAGAAAAGCATTTTTAAGCGCTCAATCTCTGGCATAATAAACTCCTGGGATAGGGCCAATTGTCTGCTGCCTCGGAAATGCGCACATTCCCTGACTGATTGAATATGTAGATGTGAGCGGGCATGCCGATGAAGCCGTCTTTAATGCTCTGAAAATTTGCCCCTACGAGCAGCTTATCCCTTTGCAGCAGGAACCCCTTTTCAAAGTTTCCGCCAGCGGACATGTACTATTGGAGGCCCAACAATAATCTGATTAGTTAATGCAGTGTTTGTATTTAAAATAAATTCATAAGCTCATCGGTTCCCACTTATCCCCGAAGTTGGTTGATCAAGCGGCGCTGCCTAACGAGCAGCTTCTCCATCCTGCGCCTCCTCTTCTCCTGACGCTGCCTCCGCTCCTGGCGACGACGGCGCTCCCTGGCCAGACGGCGACGGCGGGCACGCCTCCTGGCAGCCGCCGAGGAAGAGGATGATGAGGATTTGGTGGTCGTGGTGGTGGCTGAGGCATCGGTGGTGGTGGTCGTGGCGGAGGAGGCAGTGGTGGTGGTGGTCGAGGCGTCGGTGGTGGTTGTGGTCGCATCCGTGCTGCTTGAGCTTGAACTACTGCCCTCCTGGGCCAGGAGAAGGCACAGGAGTACGCCGAAGACAAGAGCGAATAGGAAGCGCATTGTGATGTGTCTAATCTGGAGAACTAAGCGGGCTTTTATACGGAATATGGAGCAAAAGCTAACATACCATGTAATCGGTAAATATCTTTGGGGGCTAAACAATAGAAAATATTTACTCAGCTTCTCGATTCTGACACTGTCTTCAGCATAATCTTAAATTCTGTTGGGCATGTAAGGTCGACTGAAGGGAGCCTACTTTGTAACGCAATTACAATATCCCAACTGGTTAAAGGGTTTACTTATTCCAAGAGGTATAAAAAAAATATATTTTCCTTTTCTGCCCGACCTTCAAATAGCTTCCTTTGTTTTTTAGTTCGTTCGCCGCCTAGGAAGTCATTAAGCAGCAAAACTCTAATTCATTAAAAGAAACATTTTAAGAAAATCCTAAATTTGATTTGTTAGTCAATCAAAGTCAGTCAAAGTCGTAACGAGGGACACACCAATCGATTTACCTATCAGGTGTACAAAAAGACTTTAAGAAAGGTTTAGAGGAAACATTGGTGAGGATTTTCTACCATCTGGTCATTATATTTGAAAATACGCGTCGAAACACATCTGACTCATTAGAAGTTAACACATTCCACAACTTACTAAAAAAAGATTTTCATGAACTTTCCAAAATAAAAAGGTTTGTCGAACTGTTTCTATAATCCGGTCTATCAGGGTAGAAAACCGTACAACCCTGTTTTGAAAATCCAATGGTTTTGAAAAAAGACAGCTAAATAATAAAAAAAATAATTGAAATAGTTCATAATTTAAAAAATATTTGAATTTTCCAATTGTCAGTCATATTTACTTCAAGATTTTTTTTAAATTTAATGAAAAATTTAAAAATCAAAATTGAACAAAACAAACAAAAATTTGGACTGAACGGTAACAAAACGGCTTTCTTTATCAGTTTAACTATATTGATCAGGGTGGTTGAGATGCGTTAAAGACTGAAAAGTTGTATAGTTTCATTTAACTCCAGAAACCAAGAAGTTGTTTCGATAAGGTATTGGAACTTAGAAAACTTATTTGGGTGAAAGTGCAATCCGTTACGGATAATAAGCTAGAGGTAACCAACCAAAACGTATACAATGTATAGCCATAATTTTTTTATTTCAAGTGGTAATTTTTCGTTATTAACTTTACCATCAGAATTTGCTACTTTGCTACCGGCACAAATGTAACAAATCCAAGAAATTAGCCTTTTAAATATATTCAATTGCTTTAAAGAAAAGAGAGATGTTTCCGCAGCGATCTTTATCCACGCAGCCGTTTTATCTGGCGACGCTGGTTCTCCAGCTGATTGCGCAGCCTCTCAGTCCTGCGCTGTCTCCTTCGCTCCCGACGCTGGCGCTCCCTGGCCAGACGGCGACGGCGGGCACGCCTGCGCCTCTTGGCAGCCGCCGAGGAAGAGGATTTGGAAGATTTGGTGGTCGTGCTGGTGTCTGAGGCGACGGTGGTGGTGGTGGTGGCGTCGGTGGTGGTGGTCGTGGCGGAGGAGGCGGTGGTGGTTGTGGTCGCATCCGTGCTACTGGATGAGGCACCACTGCCCTCCTGGATGAACAGGAGGCAGCCGAGGACGGCGAGGACAAATACGACCGAGAAGCGCATGTTGAATGTGTCTGATGGATTTGATCTCATGCGCTGGTTTTTATAGCAAATTCGGGGTGAGGTGTTTTGCCAGAAGCGTGTAATTAGGCTTGTTAGCTTGTTAGTTTTTACTTGGCGATGTTTACTCAGATTGAGACATAAGAAGTGATAAATACTTGGAAGCTTGCAAGAATGGAGACTTGGTTAACAATAAAGTATAAACGCCGTGACGTTAATAAGTCGAACTTCCTAGTATAATTTGGTATAAATAGATCCTCCTTCGATTCTTTCGATACAAAGGCACAGAATGCGCTTCACATACGTTCTGCTTTTGGCCCTTCTCGGCTGTTTCCTGCTCGGCCAGGTGGGCTGCGATACTTCCTCGAGCACTGAGAGCTCCACTTCAAGCTCGGACACATCCACCTCCACCGACTCCTCTGCTTCATCATCTTCTGATACCGCGACGTCCGCTTCTTCTTCTTCCGACGAGTCCAGCACAACGACCACTGCTGCCACGACCACTACCACGACCAAAACCTCGTCCTCGTCCTCCAAAGCAGCTGCCCGGCGTCGCAGGGCCGCCGCCCGTCGCCGCCGCTTGGCCCGCCAACGTCGCAAGCGTCAACAGCGCCAAAGGCGACGTCAACAACAGCGTAGGAGACGCCAACAACAAAGACGGCGACAGAACCGCCGGGGATAGGCGATATTCCAAGCCAGGATGCCTCGCGGGCAGGACTCTATTCCTTCACACAAAAAAAAATCCAATCGATATTTTGTACTAAATCGCAGCAGAGTTATAGTAGAATATTCCATTACTTACAAATAAAGAACATTTTAAAAAATTTATAGACAGATTCAAGCGTCACACGCACTGTAACGCCCACAATCGCCTTAAAATAAACCTGGCGCAGTTTAAGCACACACAAAAAAATGTTATTGGTAAAATGTACCTATACGGATAGTTATACCCGTTACCCGTAGAGTAAAAGGGTATATTAGATTCGTGCAAAAGTATGTAACAGCTAAAGGGAAGCGTTTCCGACCCCATAAAGTATATATATTCTTGATCAGGGTCACTAGCCGAGTCGATCTAGCCATGTTCGTCTGTCCGTCTGTCCGTCTGTATGAACGCTGAGATCTCGGAAACTACAAAAGCTAGAAGGTTGAGATTTTCCACGCATATTCTTTGGCTTCCTACGCAGTGCAAGTTTATTTTAGCCGAGCGCCACGTCCCCTCTAACGCCCACAATCGCCCACTAACGATTTTAAAATTTAAAATCTTTGAAGATTTCCGAGAAGTATAAATGCAATTTTGTTGTGTATATTTATACCTATCGAAATGTAGAAGACATTTTTCAAATCGGACCATTCATTAAAAAGTTATACTCGACCTTCTAGCTTTTGTAGTTTCTGAGATCTCAGCGTTCATACAGACGGACAGACGGACATGGCTAGATCGACTCGGCTAGTGACCCTGATCAAGAATATATATACTTTATGGGGTCCGAAAAGCTTCCTTCTAGCTGTTACATACTTTTGCACGAATACAATATACCCTTTTACTCTACGAGTAACGGGTATAAAAATAGTTACGTGTATTTCGTTTTTGCTTTGGGTGTGTGTCTTTGTTGTATTTGTTGTATTTGTATTTGTTGTTGTGAAAGTAACTATTTAATTGGAAGAATTTACAATTTTTGTGGTTGGGGATTGTTTGACAATTATATTGGTTAATTTTACCAAGTTTTTTTGTGCGTGCAGTCGCTCCCTTTAGCTGGGTAACAGGTATTTGATAGTCGAGGTATTTTGTTCGTTGATGACTAAAATTTGTAGGTCATAATAAGCTATTGATTGATATAATACGTATTTTGGGTTATTTATTTATTTATATAAAGCTAACTTACAGTGTAAAACTACGAGCTAACTGAGAAAGATTTAAGAGCAACTAAGGCTTTCGGTGACGTATTTTGGGTGATACTTTCTCAAATTGTATGTAACTTATGCACTTTATTTTGTTTTCTGGGTGAAGGCTATTAAAATACCCTGAAACGTCCAAACTTGATAATTACATTTTCGCAAATGCACACTGGGCTAATTCGATGTTTTCGGCAAAAAAAATTTCATATTTGGGCTTTGTTCCAAATTGGAACTTCCAATTGCTACAATGAGAAAAAACTTTAAATTTTCTGAGAATAAAGGTGAAAAGATTACTTTTCATTGACTTAAGATATGATGGAATTTTAAACGCAAATCTGAGGAATGGCACTTAATCACCTTATAAAATTGGGTACCAAGTCACAAAGATATTTTAAATCAAATTCAAATCATGAAATGTTGTTATTTCTTTAAAACCGCTTTTCTACGAAGGCTACCTAGAATCGAAAACTAAGTATGCTATCTTGTATAAGTCAACAGTAATTTATAATTTGATCTAAAGCAACAGTGCGAATTTAAAACCAATTCTCAGACCCTAAAACTTTTTGGAAACTCCTTTGGAAGCCTTTAATTCCTTAACATATATCATATAGGCAGGTGGGACTAGCTACTTAAAAATGTCAAATGTGGAATGTTCATAAATTAATCAAGTAATCGTCAGAAGAAGCAAACTCACTGGAGTCATCAAAATTGTGTACTCAGCATTTGCATCATGGAATTTTTCAAAAGGCTATTAAAACTAGAATATAAACTTCAAAAACATGACGACAAAAGTATGACGCCTTTCTCAATTGTAGGGTTTTTTTATGCATTGTAATAGCAGTTCATAAAATAATATCACAGAACATACAGTTTGGCCATGAAAAGAAAACAATCTAATTTGAAAAGCTGAGCAAACAGAGCTGAGTGTCAAGTGTAAGAAGCAGTTACATTTACCTAAGTTTCGCAGAAAAAGAACTATAAAAGGGCTTACATTTTTCCAGATAATACACATTCAACATGCGCTTCTCGGTCGTATTTGTCCTCGCCGTCCTCGGCTGCCTCCTGTTCATCCAGGAGGGCAGTGGTGCCTCATCCAGTAGCACGGATGCGACCACAACCACCACCGCCTCCTCCGCCACGACCACCACCACCGACGCCACCACCACCACCACCGTCGCCTCAGACACCAGCACGACCACCAAATCTTCCAAATCCTCTTCCTCGGCGGCTGCCAAGAGGCGCAGGCGTGCCCGCCGTCGCCGTCTGGCCAGGGAGCGCCAGCGTCGGGAGCGAAGGAGACAGCGCAGGACTGAGAGGCTGCGCAATCAGCTGGAGAACCAGCGTCGCCAGATAAAACGGCTGCGTGGATAAAGATCGCTGCGGAAACATCTCTCTTTTCTTTAAAGCAATTGAATATATTTAAAAGGCTAATTTCTTGGATTTGTTACATTTGTGCCGGTAGCAAAGTAGCAAATTCTGATGGTAAAGTTAATAACGAAAAATTACCACTTGAAATAAAAAAATTATGGCTATACATTGTATACGTTTTGGTTGGTTACCTCTAGCTTATTATCCGTAACGGATTGCACTTTCATCCAAATAAGTTTTCTAGGTTCCAATACCTTATCGAAACAACTTCTTGGTTTCTGGAGTTGAATGAAACTATGCAACTTTTTAGTCTTTAACGCACCTCAACCACCCTGATCAATATAGTTAAACTGATAAAGAAAGCCGTTTTGTTACCGTTCAGTCCAAATTTTTGTTTGTTTTGTTCAATTTTGATTTTTAAATTTTTCATTAAATTTAAAAAAAATCTTGAAGTAAATATGACTGACAATTGGAAAATTCAAATATTTTTTAAATTATGAACTATTTCAATTATTTTTTTTATTATTTAGCTGTCTTTTTTCAAAACCATTGGATTTTCAAAACAGGGTTGTACGGTTTTCTACCCTGATAGACCGGATTATAGAAACAGTTCGACAAACCTTTTTATTTTGGAAAGTTCATGAAAATCTTTTTTTAGTAAGTTGTGGAATGTGTTAACTTCTAATGAGTCAGATGTGTTTCGACGCGTATTTTCAAATATAATGACACGATGGTAGAAAATCCTCACCAATGTTTCCTCTAAACCTTTCTTAAAGTCTTTTTGTACACCTGATAGGTAAATCGATTGGTGTGTCCCTCGTTACAACTTTGACTGACTTTGATTGACTAACAAATCAAATTTAGGATTTTCTTAAAATGTATCTTTTAATGAATTAGAGTTTTGCTGCTTAATGACTTCCTAGGCGGCGAACGAACTAAAAAACAAAGGAAGCTATTTGAAGGTCGGGCAGAAAAGGAAAATATATTTTTTTTATACCTCTTGGAATAAGTAAACCCTTTAACCAGTTGGGATATTGTAATTGCGTTACAAAGTAGGCTCCCTTCAGTCGACCTTACATGCCCAACAGAATTTAAGATTATGCTGAAGACAGTGTCAGAATCGAGAAGCTGAGTAAATATTTTCTATTGTTTAGCCCCCAAAGATATTTACCGATTACATGGTATGTTAGCTTTTGCTCCATATTCCGTATAAAAGCCCGCTTAGTTCTCCAGATTAGACACATCACAATGCGCTTCCTATTCGCTCTTGTCTTCGGCGTACTCCTGTGCCTTCTCCTGGCCCAGGAGGGCAGTAGTTCAAGCTCAAGCAGCACGGATGCGACCACAACCACCACCGACGCCTCGACCACCACCACCACTGCCTCCTCCGCCACGACCACCACCACCGATGCCTCAGCCACCACCACGACCACCAAATCCTCATCATCCTCTTCCTCGGCGGCTGCCAGGAGGCGTGCCCGCCGTCGCCGTCTGGCCAGGGAGCGCCGTCGTCGCCAGGAGCGGAGGCAGCGCCAGGAGAAGAGGAGGCGCAGGATGGAGAAGCTGCTCGCCAGGCAGCGCCGCCTGATCAACCAACTTCGGGGATAAACTAGGCAGAGTACTAAAAAAAATAAAACAATTGAAGTCGAATACCCCGACTATTTTCATACAAGCCGACCTGTTTTGAATTTTAAACTAAACCTTACGTTCACCATAAGATCATCTACATGCAAAGATCATTTTTTCAAGATCAAAATTGTATGTCCTAAGGAACAAAAATTCATTATCACAATCCGAAACAAGCCTTTTGAGCCAGTTCACGTTCTGTTCATGCTGAGGATAGAACGAAATTAAAATGTTGGGCATTGTCGCCCGGTATCCTTGGCTTGGCCCCATTTATGTATGAATCCATCAAAGCGGCGCCTGCTCGAAGGCCTAACCAGGCTGCGGCGCATTTCACACGCTTCGCTGGAGTTCTGCAACTCGAATTGGCACAAAGGATGTCGGGGCATCCAGGACGAGGGCGGGAGACAGGACAGACAGGAAGCCTGTTTCCACACCGACCGAGGCGAAAGTTTTGGCCTGCAGAGCTGGCAAAAAAGTTTTGCCGCCGACGAGCTGAGGCTGCATTAAATTTGTGGCCAAATATGAGTTCATGCTTCAAGCGGAGGAAAAGGCTTTAAGAATCTGTGAACGGATTTTATCTGGCAGGCTTTTCGCCATGGATCTTGCGATCTCGTCCTTTCACCTAACTGCCGCCTAAATGCGCCTAAATGCAATTTTTGTTAGTTGGCAAAACTTTTGCCTGCTTCACCTTTTTGGCAAAAGTTTGTTTCAAGTTCTGTTTTTGTGCCCAAGCAATATCAAAGGCGGTGGGAGTGGCTTGGACTGAACTTTTGTAATTATTTGATTTATCAAATAACGGCTGTTCATGCAGAGGAATAAGGGCGGCTTCGGGGTAATTTTATTTAAAAGTTGCAAAGCTGAAAGAGGCCAGTTTACTTATTTTTTTGGATGGGAAATCTCTTTTTATTTGACACAGTCGTCTGGGACAAGTATTCGAAAACTGAATTAAAATGTGAGTTTGGAAGGTCAAGGCAAGGGCTTAGGTAAGAGCACCCAAAGAACAGCAAACATCAGAAAACACCTGTGAGGTATGCAAACAGAAAACAGAACTGATAATAACACAACGCGCCGATTGCGTAGAGAGCGATATCCAGTTCATCTCAGACTGCTGGCGGGGAATGTCTTTGGCCTGGATCATTCTGCTCGGTCTTCTGATCTCTGAGAGGAACACCTCTGGAGCCCTTGTCACCACATCGCCGCACCATCGTCTACGAGGCACACACCTTCCGGCGATCAAGGTTCACGACGTTGCCCAACGAACATCACGTCGGATTGTGAGAATTACCGGATCGGAAAAAGCATCTACAAGGCCCCCTAAAATTCAGCATGTTGAAGCATTTAATGACTCCGTTTCGACATCGAACAGGTCGGAGTACAACATGTGGCAGGTACTGAGAGTCGATGGAAAAACCAACCTCTACATACTATTCTTCACCATTTACATCAGCTACCTGGTGTATGTGTTATTCTAAGTCGATATATTGTTTAATTAAAGTCGTAGTCTCAAAGAGAGTTAGGTGTTTTTTGTCAAATATACCGGTCTCCTAATAAGCAAAAGGTAGAACAAAAACTTAGCCACGCTTTTTGGTTGGTAATATGTTTTCTATTGTTTGTAAATATAATTTTGCAAAATAAATGTTGTAAAGAATTTTGAAAACGAAGTTAATAATATTTACCTAATATGTATAAAACATATTTAGCAACAACTATTCCATGGCCATCTTAAAAAGGGTAATTTATTTAAAAGGTCTACAAATTTTTTGATTTTATAAAGTGATTGACCTACCCAACTTCGAGCTCCCCATTTTGGGAGTTGCCATTCCCAAGAATATGATCACGAAGGCCCTTCCCTCTGCGTATCCCATTTTAGTGCGATATTATAATATCCCTGCTAGGGTATAAAAATCCAGGGGTGTCTTATAAACGGGAAACTTGGCACTAGTGTTCTTCCCTCTTTTTATCCTTATAAATAAAGTTGCTATTTGTCTTAACCGCCCCATGTTCCGAACATATTTAAAGCCTGTTGGATCCTCTGCCATTTCAGCAGTTCATCAAGTCCTCGGCATGTGTTGCCCGAATGGACATACACATACAGTATGCTAAGTGACCCCGCAACCTCAACCTGCCTGCTGACTGGAGCTTCGCTGTTGCTTTCGTCAACTGCGACATAATTTATGACGCTTTCATTAAAAGCGACAAGCGAGACAAACGCCCACACACAATCACAATCACGGCTGGGTAACGAATGGCCAAAGGAGTTGCTCGGCTTATGTGGGTGTGTATTTTAAATTTGTTTCGGGGCAGACCCAAAAGACAAGCGAACTCGCAGGGAACTCGGTTACGTGTGCCAGACAGTTGTCACAGGCAAAAACATCGGTCAGGAGTGGGGTTCCCGGGTGGGAGAGGAAAGGTGGCAGGGCGAAACGTCGCCGACATTTCACCCCAAACGGTGTCAATTTTTTAATGTCAAGCGTTTAACTGGCGTACCGTTGCACTCGGCTCCTGGTCGGAGGCTTCCGTCGCGCTTTGACATAATTAAAGGCCATTAATCACGTGTGCTGATTCAACAACGCCCACTCTGTTAGCAGGCCGGAGTGGAGCGGGCTGGACGGCACCCCGGTGACCTCTCAAGGGTTAATACAGCCACTTGAACCCCAGGTTGGGATCGGTCGAATCGATTCGGAGCAACGTTTAAATTCACCAGGCCCCGTCAAGACACGGGGCTGCTGTCCTGCCACAAATTCCGCTCGACAGAACAGTTTATATTTTTTTTCAGATGCTACGCTTTACTGCCGATTTGCCTCTTTTCAGTTTCCCCAGATGTTTTTTTGCCTTTTTTATGCTGTAGCATTTTGGCGTCAATTAACGTTCTTTGTTGTGGCGTTACATTGGACACATTTTTGGGGGCTAGAGCCAGGGCCACGGTCACAGCGCTGGACATGGTCAGAGCCATATAGATGCCGCGTAGATTGGAAATGTCGCGTGGATGTAGCGCTTCATTGCGCCTCAGTTTGGGGTGATTCCCATGCAGAATTACGGAAAAAATGTACAACATAAAGTGCAATGCGACTAGTCTATGCCCTTCACAGATTAATTTCATTATCCAATTTCGGCCCTAATAAGCCATTACTTTTCTAGTTTTTTAAATGTACCTACATCTAAAAATTACTTGATATGAAAAAAAGATCGAATTGATGTTATGTGGTATCAATTTTGACTTGATATGCTGGAATTTCCAGCCTGGAAACGTTCTAAGTAGTCGTATAAGTTGCGCATTAGCTTTCCTCGCTCCCACTCACATAATTTAATGCTCTCTTTTTCGAGCTCATAGAATCTCCGAGAGAGAGAAATCGATATTGCATTGTTAAAACGACATGCGTATAAGTATGAGAAATATACCATGCGCATATCAATTTGATCCTGGCGTGTTATTTCTTGGGTGTACCTTTCATAATAGAATATTTTTCGTACGTGTCGTCTCCACGCACTTAAATATCTATCCTGAATTGTAGGGAACATATGGCAAGAAGGGTAAGGGCTGAAACGATATGACAAAACAAATTCCCATATATTCACAACAGTTACACACATACACCCCGAAGCCTGAAATCCCAACAGAGAGAGAGACAATATACATAGATACCAAAAGATGTCCGCAGCATGATGGCAGCTTCGGCGCTTATGTAGACTTATAGTCGCGCATATTGACCGCGAGGGTGGCAGGGCGGCACGGCAGACAGCTACACCTTTGCTGAACCGACCCACATGCTCCCACTGGGGGATTGATTTTTAACGAGCATGAAGTCGAAGCGCTATCAATTCGTGTTTTTTACCGCTCTGTCGGGCTTTAATAGGGGCTGTACAAAATTATGGAAAAGCAATTTTTAATGGACCCAAATGGCTGCAAAAACCATGTGTACGAAATAAAAGGGTTAAACGACATATGACTTTGGCAATTATTGCCGATCAATTGGAGTGAGACTCAATTAAACTCGATTTTAGATTTAGTTAGTATGGAATATTAATGGAAATAAGTGAGATCTTGGGGTTTTATTGTTAGTGACGATTAAAAAAATGAAAATTGAATTTGAAAGCCCGATAGAAACAAGTGATATGTTGATCGAATGTATTATAATTTTTTTAACACAATTTAAACTTGACCTCTGATATCATTTAGCATACAAAATTTACCTCGATGAATGAATTAAAATCTTATCATTTTAAATCACCATTTTGAAATGTGTTCGACAAAAATATCTGATGCTTATTTATAGTTAGTTTCAAATTTAATCTAGTATACACAACTAAATTTAATAGAAAGGAAATCGCACTGTAAACTGAAATCCTTCGGTCTGAGAATTTGTTACATAGTGTTATTGCTAAGAAAATAAAATTCCACATTTGGATTGACGCAAAAGTGTGCTTATGCTGTTCTCGTTGCATTTCATTACAACAATGTATTCAAAGCTAGACATTGATAACGCGGATGCAGTGATCAGAAGCGAACAGAGCTTCAGCTCTTATCATGCCACTATGAATTGATCTTTGGATGGGGTGCATGGTCAGTCAATCGCTGTATGACGTGAAAACAGACAAATGCATTCATAAGTTGGCAACAATTGGCAATCGAAACATACTTGGTATGTATAATATGTTAGCTTCAACATATAGTTACAAGTCGTTGACGGGTTGAGCTTAGTTTGTGCTATAGCTATCAGCGAACAACATGCATTTACTCGGAGATAATTCTGGGCACAAGTTTGGAAAATTTTATAGAGGGACTCGACACAAGTAAACCATATCCGTACTAAAAGATAATTTATGGGACGAGGACTCAAGCCAAATATTTAAACAAGGAAAACGAGCAAAGCAATAGGGAAACAGTTTGCTTAAACTAACCTACTGGAGTAAGACTTGTTCATATTTTATCAAGGAAACATTTCATAAAATTTTAATTTTTTTACAGTGTAACAAAGTGTGACATCCAAAAATATCTCTTACAACGGAGGGTGGTGTATTAACTAGAGCCCTGCATGAGTAGAGTCATAGTTCCCTTTGATTTCATGAGCCATTCGATCTATCTATGTTTTTTAAGTCATGACTCCTATGGCTCATGACTCCTATGAAACATGGCTCATACGATGAGCCATGACCTACTTAATTCATTAGAAATGTAGTGACTCCTATAGCTCATCAGCTGACTCGTATAGCTCACCTACACACAAAAAAAAAACTTGGTAAAATCAACTGTAAGAATTGTCAAACAGGCCCCAACCAGCAAAATTGTCAATTCTACTAAGTAAATTGTCATTTCACAACAACAAAATACACACAATTAGCAAAGACACAAACCCAAAGCAAAAACAAAATACATGTAACTATTTTAATAGTTACGTAACTATCTTTGTTGGTCAATTTTACCAAGCAAATTTTTTTGTGTGTAGTAGCTCATAGGGTTCATTGTCAACATAGAAAAGTTACATTTTTTGTTTTAACATTTCTCGACATGGATGGGCTGGAAGCAGATCAATATGTAAGTGTTGTTTCTAAGAATTTGAGTAACCGCATACAATAAAAATATTTAACACTAAGGTTTTACCCGAATCGCAAAGCATCAAATTAAAGCTCCTGTCTGGGGAGTATGAATTATGCAACAAGCGCGGAAAAAGTAAGGTTTGGGAAACTTTCGCGAAAATCAAGGACAATAGTGGCGCTTGTATCGACAACTTGGTGGGGTGTAGAAAATGTTTTGCAGTCCTAAAATTCAGTAAAAGTACTTCTAATTTAACCCGTCACAAGTGCTTTAAGGACAGTGCAGAGAATTCGACGAGTGATGCAAGCGTTCAACTGGATTTAGAATCTAAAAGGGATGTTGTCAAAGTCGTAACCCAATGGTCTGTGGAAAATTGTCGTCCATTTGAAATTAATTAATTAATTAATACTATTAACCAACACCAGGGGGGCGCAGTTTACTCATGGCCAGGGCATATTTTTTTTGAGCACATACTGCTAGTACATTCTAATTATTTTCTGAACGGACTTTTTAAGTTCTTACATGTTGAAGTTAGTAGAGCCAAATGTTTACATGTCGCCGCCTATGATAAATCTTAAATTTGGACTCTGTCAACCGAAAAAAGTGGAAAAACCCTAACTTTAAAAATCCACCATAAATCCAGTTTTCCATGGATTTGGGCCACATCCGGCTTGTTTTATTCGGTAGGATATACACCTTAAGTTTGTACCCATTATGATTTTTCAACGGATTTATTTCGAGTTTTTACGATATATACAGCCGACTTACAGTCGACCAAAAAACACATTTTTCATCTTTGTCGAGCTTCTGCGCTGCCATTACTTATCCAATCACATTAATCTGTATGGCAAAGATAAGCTCTGATCTATTGACTTTAAAATAAAACTAAAACTGGCCCAATCGAGTGGATATCTGCCGAGATATAAGAAGAAATTCGAAAAAAGTCCGAAATTTAACATTTCGAACTTTAAAAAATCTTTAAAAAAAAACTGTGCCATCGAAAAAAAAATAGGTGCTATTTTTGTGATCTAGGGGTCCAACACTAACAGAACTTGCCATC